GGTCATGCTTTTCACGCTGATTCTGTGTAGTATCTGCCATTGCGCATTGAGTAAATCTGCGTCGGTGTGGATGCACCACCGGGGCATTAACCCAATGAGCCGCGCCAAAAACGAAAAAGCAGTGTCCTCCCGTAGCGAGTGTAGTGCCAGAATACTCGTTACCCACACATCGTGCAGAGAGCGCGCCGCCGCCGCCCCGGAGTAGGACGAGGAGGGGAGCGTGGGGTCGAGATTGTCCCATGAGGACGAGGTGGCGGATGGAGTCCGGGGGACCTGGGGCTCGTGGCCGGGCGACCCAGTCAACCCCGGTCGAGTCGGAGCCCCACAATTTCAGCCAGCTTTTATCGTATTACAGCACGGGTTTGGCTCGTGTCTCTCACAGACGCGAGAGGGACTCGAGTAATGCGGTGTATTTGACCGTGTCTTATTACCCTGAACTACCAACCCGATTGTAACACGCACACAAACACCGCGTCCATGTTGGTTGGGTTATTTATCGGGCGTCCATCTTGGTTCGGATATTTAACGGGTGTCAGTGTTGGTCGATTATTTAGCGGATAGTCAGGCTTGAATAAATGTAGAGTTGTGTGGCACATTAGGAATGGCCCACTCTTTTAATGATTTCCTTGTGCAGCAAGGGAGTAAAGTGTGGTTCTGCCAGAGTCCTTATGTGCTGTGCATCAATGCATGCGTACAGCAGCATGTGATGACTGAGTTGGGCCTGTAGGTGGCTGGCAGGGTTATTGATTAACCGCACTTGTACACCAGTCACATGATTAATGGCGACTCAGTTAAAGATTGCTGTGACACACGTGCTGTTGCATCTTAGAGATTAACCACAATAAATGTTTGCCCTCGATTTGGAGCACCTGCCCACGTCCTTCATTTCGAGTGTGCAACAGTTGTATGTCCAACTAGGGCATATCACCAATATTGGTGAAGGAACCCAGACTGTTGATGAGACAATGTTGAAACTGGTCCATTTTGCTTGCGACTGAATGCACTCCAAGGCGGCTATGTGGCTGTTGGGATGTGCAAATGTTTTATTTATTTTTTTATATGTAGAGGGACAGATATATGAAGGCAGCGTGCTGTTTATTGTCAGGCGTGTTCTCTACGGCGACGCAAGCGCTCGTTTTGTAATTAAGGGAAGGATGATTTACTCCTGAACCAGTTATTTTATTTCCCCAAATCAACAAAACATGACGTGACCCACTTACACCTGTCACTTTCCCCCCACACCACATAAAAATAACAATGGAATGAAAAGCTAAATGCCACAAGTAAAATGTGTAATATATACATATATTTGGTAACTTTTTCGTTCTCAAGTTGTAACACTTTAACATTTTTTAGGAACTTTAAGCAAAAGGAATTCTCTACAAGCATTCACGGATTGGCAGCGTTTGTGTAAATGAAATCCCTTTCACTCTTTACTGGTAGAGGCATAAGCCCATATTTGCATGAATATATACCCTGCATTTATTTACTTGCAGCTGCTATGAGAAAACAGCAAGCTGGCAAAGCCAGCTTGCTGTTTCTCAAATGAGAGGACCTATATCAGAGGGTCCTTTTCTATAAACATCTGGCAGTTCATGAGCATTGGTTCAAGCAAGTCCGAATGCTGAGACACCGAGTGTCAAAACCAGTCCAGTTTATGCATGTTGAACCAATGCAGCTAAAACGGACTCCCAGCAGGCCGTGTGGCTGATGAGTTGAATAAAAAATGCAAGCAGCCCCCGGGTTACGAAAGGGCTAGGGGTTCTACAAACGATCCTTTACCTGCATTTTCCGTATGTAGGAAACTGAACAATTTCCCCCCAAAATCAAGATTAAATCCCATAGCCAAAAATAGTTTTCCCTCAGGATAATATCGCTGTACATAGGCTCTGCACTTCCTATGATTGTTTCATTTCGTCGAATATCTACCCTAACAGCACCCATAATTAAACTAATGGAACACATTGTATACAATTGTTTGAATACCACGCAACATGTTAATATTGTTAACAGAAAGCAGTCACTTCTAAATGTTCATTTACCGTGCATTCGGCGAGGCCGAGACTTCTCTGATTGATGCTGGCCACGACCTTAAGCAAAGTGTAATTTTGATTTAAAGCTTTCGTGACTGCAGTAATTCATATTCTTAGCTCTTTCGGTAAAGTCACGTTGAAGGGAAACAATAAAATAATGAAATATATAAAACAATAAAAATTATCACGTTTCGACCATAACACAAACGGTCATCATCAGGTTTTTTCACACCTGATGATGACCGTTTGTGTTATGGTCGAAACGTCGTGAGAATTTTTATTGTTTTATATATATTTAATTTTTTCCCTTCAACGTGACTTTACCGAAAGAACTAAGAATACAAAGTGTAATTGTATTAAATAAAGTAGTCATTATTGCAATGCAATTAAGATATTACACTGAAAGTAACGAGACGTTGTGGCGGGTATACGCACTGTAACGATGTAACAGTTTGATAGAGTGCAGAGCTGCTATACACTGCCTTAGGGAAGATGCTGTCCCCCTTGCTCCACTGCATTCATCCACAACCTCACCGCACTGCACTACTTGTGCTTTCATAATGCTAATATTTCCGCATGCTGATTTTTTTTACATTATTTATGGGAGCACATCCGTAAGGTCAGAATTCCGTAAGTCGGGTGTTCCACAACCCGGGGACTGCCTGTACCTTGTATATATTTTTTATGTGGAGGTACAAATATGGGGAGGCCAATTGTTTGCTTATTGTTATTAAAGCGATTAAACTGCCAATTGTTAGATATGTGGCAATACATTTATTGACGAAAGTAACTATACCATCTAAATAATGTTTCTTCTAACGTCCAAGCCATTTCACGTAAAAAATTAGTAAAGTGTGTCAACTGAAATTTTGCTGTGTAAAAAGTAAAATTAATGTGAAATGTCACAAGCATTGTTAAACACCATTAATCCAGTTTAAAATCATTTTTATACAGATTGTAAAGTTTAGAAGGTAACACCACTGCTTTCAAGTGCATTCCAGTCAGCATTTATAACTGCATATGCATTGCTTAAATAAAAACACGTGTGGAGAGATACATATGGGAAGTGATAAATGCATGTTTCGATTTACAGTGAAGGAAAAAAGTATTTGATCCCCTGCTGATTTTGTATGTTTGCCCACTGACAAAGAAATCATCAGTCTATAATTTTAATGGTAGGTTTATTTGAACAGTGAGAGACAGAATAACAACAAAAAAATCCAGAAAAACGCATGTCAAAAATGTTATAAATTGATTTGCATTTTAATGAGGGAAGTAAGTATTTGACCCCTCTGCAAAACATGACTTAGTACTTGGTGGCAAAACCCTTGTTGGCAATCACAAGAGGTCAGACGTTTCTTGTAGTTGGCCACCAGGTTTGCACACATCTCAGGAGGGATTTTGTCCCACTCCTCTTTGCCGATCTTCTCCAAGTCATTAAGGTTTCGAGGCTGACGTTTGGCAACTCAAACCTTCAGCTCCCTCCACAGATTTTCCATGGGATTAAGGTCTGGAGACTGGCTAGGCCACTCCAGGACCTTAATGTGCTTCTTCTTGAGCCACTCCTTTGTTGCCTTGGCTGTGTGTTTTGGGTCATTGTCATGCTGGAATACCCATCCACGATCCATTTTCAATGCCCTGGCTGAGGGAAGGAGGTTCTCACCCAAGTTTTGACGATACATGGCCCCGTCCATCGTCCCTTTGATGCGGTGAAGTTGTCCTGTCCCCTCAGCAGAAAAACACCCCCAAAGCATGTTTCCACCTCCATGTTTGACGGTAGGGATGGTGTTCTTGGGGTCATAGGCAGCATTCCTCCTCCTACAAAGCGAGTTGAGTTGATGCCAGAGCTCCATTTTGGTCTCATCTGACCACAACATTTTCACCCAGTTGTCTTCTGAATCATTCAGATGTTCATTGGCAAACTTCAGACGGGCATGTATATGTGCTTTCTTGAGCAGGGGGACCTTGCGGGCGCTGCAGGATTTCAGTCCTTCATGGCGTAGTGTGTTACCAATTGTTTTCTTGGTGACTATGGTCCCAGCTGCCTTGAGATCATTGATAAGATACTCCCGTGTAGTTCTGGGCTGATTCCTCACCGTTCTCATGATCATTGCAACTCCACGAGGTGAGATCTTGCATGGAGCCCCAGGCCGAGGGAGATTGACAATTCTTTTGTGTTTCTTCCATTTGCGAATAATCGCACCAACTGTTGTCACCTTCTCACCAAGCTGCTTGACAATGGTCTTGTAGCCTACTCCAGCCTTGTGTAGGTCTACAATCTTGTCCCTGACATCCTTGGAGAGCTTTTTGGTCTTGGCCATGGTGGAGAGTTTGGAATCTTGATTGATTGCTTCTGTGGACAGGTGTCTTTTATACAGGTAACAAGCTGAGATTAGGAGCAGTCCCGTTAAGTGTGCTCCTAATCTCAGCTCGTTACTTGTATAAAAGACACCTAGGAGCCAGAAATCTTTCTGATTGAGAGGGGGTCAAATACTTATTTCCCTCATTAAAATGCAAATCAATTTATAACATTTTTGACATGCGTTTTTCTGGATTTTTGTGTTGTTATTCTGTCTCTCACTGTTCAAATAAACCTACCATTAAAATTATAGACTGATCATTTCTTTGTCAGTGGACAAACGTACAAAATCAGCAGGGGATCAAATACTTTTTTCCCCTCACTGTAGTTACGTTCTTACATTTTGCCGAGATTAAACCAAAAGGTTATAGCCACCGTGCGAGTGTTGCTCGTGTCAGTACAAAAGCGAAGATGCCTGATGCAGGCACGCTCGTCATAAAACAGTACATCTTGGACCAAACTGCAACTAGATTATACGTGCATTTACATTCAATAAAAGCACACTTGGCAACCATCATATTTATGTATTGAACCTCGGCTTTGATTTAAAAACATAATTTTCCCACCACACACACGACAACATTCGATCATGTCCCATCTTATGTTTGACAAGGGAATAAAAACATTTTAAGCTACACATTGAAATAAAATATTAACCAAATCCACAAAAAGTTCCTACTATTGTAGACATTACAATCGGTCGGGCCCTCGTGAAGATTACTCTGTAATACCAGCAGCACAGCCGCGAGTGGAATGCACTTAACACTGTAGCCACCACGCCCTCCACCTGGGACATGTTTTGTTGCTAGACAAGAACCTTCAGTTCATAAAGCTACATTGCCACCAACACAAAGCTAATTCTTTATATTTATGCTCATTTACTGAGCACTCACCCAAAACTTACGACCATTTTCAGGAGGGTTCTGCCAAGTTTTCACAATTGGGGGTGCCGATTCGTGATTTATTTTTGTGTCAGATTGCGGAAGTAAAAAGTATCAAAATCCCACAAATGTGCCAATTTATTACAGCTTCAGCACACAGCAATCCACACACATTTAACAATTCAGTATGACATGTTTCTGGTAGTTACAACCAGTTTCATCAGGCAGTTGCTATACATCTGATTGACACTGCTGATGAAATAATGAATATCATAACTGATAGAGTTTTGTTGACCTTAACCAATGCACCTGAAATAATTTATTCCCAGAAGGCCTTGTGGCTGATGGGATCAGTAAAAACACTTTTATTTGCATGTTGAGAGATACATATGGGAAGAATTGTCTGCTTATTGACTGTTAAGAGATGCATGGACAAGAGAGCTCTAGTTTCTTGTGAAAACAATGTCATTGGGAGCACCTACATGTTGAGTTCTGTGCACTGCGGCTCACAGAACGGTCCGTAGCGTCCGTAGGAGTCTCGGCCTCGCACCGCAAAGTAGTAACGCTTGCCAAACCCAAACTGGGAGAGAGTGCAAGCCATGGGCAAGCGCAATGCCTTGACCTCTCCCACACGCCGCCAGTGCATAGGTGGGCGCCCTGCCAACTCCTGATGGCATGCGTACAGGTAGAAGGCCTCCGCCGCCGCACAACGGTCGTCCGGGTTCCGTACATTCCAGCACAGCACGATCTGGGAGCTGGAGCGCGTCACCGTGAGTGTAGCCTTCTGTGGGGGCAGTGACTTCGCAGCCTCAGGGGGCAAAGGGCAAAGGGTGGATGGAGCGGGTGCTTCTGGGAGCGGCGGCAGCTGGGCGAGACACGGCGCTGGGGAAGTGGTGCGCTGGGTGGCTCCTGGAGTTTAACAACAGCAGCAAACTCCAGTTAAGTGAAGGTCGCAGAGGATATTCAAAGAGAGAGGGCAACTTAGCCTCAATGTGTATACCTAGTGAATGTGTCAATCTAAATGTCTGTTTCTAGATTTGTTTTTTAAATAGTTGCAGAGCTTACCAAAAAGCCTAAAATGTCAATTGGCCAGTAACAAACAGTACAATCAAAGCTGCAACATAAGTTAACAAGTTTGTTGAATTTCTAAAATTGGTGAAATGCCATGTTTGTGTTCATATAGTGTTGCTTGCATTCTCCATGACGCTAAGGATTGATTACCTTACACAGTAAAGCCTCATTTGCAGATTATCTGCGATTTACTATTTGTATACCAGTTTAACTTTCACGACGTTTTCCTTTGATTTGCATCAAGGGTGAAGCTACTGTAATTTGCACGGTGCAGTAGTGGGCTGTGGCCCTCAAGCCGGCTGAAATTTTTACTCTTCAAATTGCCTTGTGATATTTTTGTCTTGGTGTTTTTTTTAAATTTCGACCATGGAGTCTACGCATCGATTGAGGGGAGGACATCAGAGCAAAAGTAAAAGGCAAAATAAAGGGATGAGTTTAGCTGAAAAAGTAGAGTTGTTGGATATACTTGCTCATGATGAAAGTGTCTGCTGTTGTCCACCATTACATGGTAAACGAATCAAAAGTCGGATTTATAAAGAAAAACGAGAAGGCAATTTGGGAAAGTGTAGCAGCAAGTGCACCGATAACCACCAAAGAAGTATCATCATTACACCCCCATCATCCAAGGTAAGTAATACTTGCAATTTTGCAGTATAATTTATGGATGTTTTGTATTATTTATTTGTAATATTGTACATTTTAATTACGTGACTTTTCTAGAGTATAAGATTGTTATGAAACATACAATTTGTATCCTGTATCTTCAGTTAGATACAGAAACCTAACCACAATATCACCACATAAACAGTCTAAATTCGCAAATTCTACTTTTGCGCAGATTTTCAAGAACCTAACCCTCCTGGATGTCGAGGCCTAACCGTTTAACCAAGCAGTACTCACCTTGACCTTGTGACTCATCCTCTTCCGTGAGGTCAATGACTGCATCCGCTGACGATGAGACTATTGAGACGACCTGTAGGTCAACAATAACCTCAATGAAATTACTCCATGTATGTTTAATATCCCTGACAGTCACTCGCTCAATTCAGAGGGAAAAAAATGCAATTGCCTTTGCCATCATTTTGAGCCCTCATTGGCAGTTCTCAAATGTATGTCAATAACTTCCTGTATTCCTTTCTATTCAATGTTATGTCATTCAAAAATCTGAAATGGCTAACATTTTCTCCACCCATTTATTTCCCAAACAAGAGCAATTGGGCTTAAGCAGGCCATATCACTCAAAGGATAACGGCCAGTGGTAGAGACTAACGATGGAGTGGCAACCAAAGGAGTGGATGTATCCGAAAAGATGTCCACCATACAGGGAGAGTGGTTAAATTACCTTTTGTGCAGGAGCTAGATGGATTGTTGCATTGAGACATCGTGATAGCGACAGATTGTGGAGGTATTCAACCAGCAGTGCACTGATCATGGCTGATATCTTTAATAACTAGCAATTGCATACAACCATTGCTTGCAGGAACCACAGTCCATTTAAACACCAGAATTATATTTAAAAAATATACAAATTGAAAACTCATTACCCAGATCTCCCTTGAGTCAATTGATAATCAGCTAGTCAGAAGATAATTACAGTTCAAGGTTTCCGCAGCCTTGACTACAATCCAGTCTACCTCTATTTGGATAAGACTGCTTGTGTGGAAGCCTGAAGTACATCGATATGTCAGACAATCCTTCATAAACCAGACTTACTGCTACACAGCCTGTTGCTGTACATTTAAACAGTTACTGATAATACACCCACAGTCCCAAATAATCAAGCAGCCAGCATGAAACGGCACTCTAAATAGCTGTATTCGGTAATGTAGAGGGACAGGACACAGGGAAAGAGGCAAATTGTCCTATTTATTTTATAAAATTCTCCAGTGACACTCAGGAATATTTTAACCCACTTCCCAATGTGGTATCGACTGCAAACTTGGTATACTTATGTCACTGATGACAATACTATATTCTATTATAAAAAATAAACAATCTTTATTACATGTTATGTTTCAGCTTGGGTCTAATTGTCCACGCTCAACTAACGTTGGCTGTAAATCACCATGGTCCCTTACATTATGGCAAGCTTCGGGGCCACTTCCTGGAGTCGTGGAGTTCTTCCATTACTAGTAGGGTACATTTCATTAAAGCGTGTTTAAAAAATACGTTTTTTTTTTCATATTACTTATGAATGTGTTAGGTGCAAAAACACATTACGAACGAGCACCTCACCTGTTTGAGTTCCTGCAAATTGTCCTGCGGGTCATCATGTGGCACCTGCGTTTCTGCCACACTGCTGGACCCCCTGATTTGTGCAACAACTGAAGCGTCGGTCCTCTGCGAGGACGACACCGGGCAGTCCTTCACGTGGGTGGCAATGGCAATATCACGTGGGCCGGGCTGTTTCTCTGCCGTGGGAGCTCTTAACAGCCGCAGCGGTGGTATTGCTAACGCAGCCCCCTCGGTTGCTTTGGAGTCGTTGCCAATTGCCAGCTTGCCTGGGGATCCCACGTGCCCCGGGACAACACGTCCAGATGTCTGGCTAGACTTTACGTCTGCACCGGTTGGCTCTTGGATCTGTGTGGATTGAGCCGCGGCTGGTGCGGTAGGGTCTACGCCCACTGCCGTACGCCACGGTGAGCCACAGTCTGCGCTGCTGTTGGTTGCTGTGAGGTCAGGACGGGCGTCGCCCAATGTTGCAGGTTGGCTTGATTGCACGTTTTTGTCCTGCTGCGTGGGCGATAGTGCATGAGGTCTGCTTGAGCTTGGCGCAACTGCAAGCCTCTGTGAGAGGTCTGAATGGCTTCCGGGGAGCTGCGGGACAGCTGTGGTGGGGTTGGGCCGGCCCGCCAAAGCTGTTGAAGGAATCGGAATGAGAATATAGAAATCCCACGCATGTCATTTACTATTCAGCATGTTGTTTGCCATCAATAACAAAAACATGACACGAAATATTAATTTGCCTTGTTCTCAACAGAAGTCACTAATTAAAGTACACAATTTGCCTCCTCGTTCGTCTCTCCGCATTACATGTTTCTGTACAATTCACAAAAAAAAACTGATTTTCAAGGTTATAAGGTGCTGCATTATCTATTGTATTGCATATTAATTGCCGATTAATTTGGAAACATATTTCCTTATAGATATTGGTCGTGGTGAAAAAAATACTGTGATATAATACCATACTGTACGTGCATAGCACATACCACCAAAAATCCCTCCACCACGTGAAGGGGATTTCCCACAGCTTTGTCAGATGAAGAGGCAGGTAAACCTGCCCCATCGTCTGCATAACTCAACCACTGTTCATCCCAAGAGGCCTCGATCTGCAATCTCTTCAACTATCGCTGGTGAGTTTTATCCAATTGTTTCAATGTATTATTAGTTCCGTGTAGGTCATCAGTTTTTCCGATGATGTACACGTCTTTATACAGGCTCCGGCAAGGCGATGCACGAGGACGTGTGGCAGAGTTTGGCGCCAGTTATCAGTGTGGTCATGTCGGTACAGTTGTCGGCAGTGAGTACAATGTCTCTAAAAACAACGGCGCTTTGCCTCTCTAAATAAAATGAACGCTAACCGCTTGTGCGTTTCGAGATTCAGCGGTGAACGGGACCCACCCTGCAACTTGTAGATGTTTTCGAAAGGGAAAGGGTTCAAATGTATGTCAACTAAGACGCATGCATATTTGTATATTTCATGCCAAATTGTCACACATTTTTTTCCAGAAATGATGGCAAGGAATGCAACCCGATTTTAACATTGGCTACAGAAAATTAGTTTGCTTTACGTAATTTGGAGTGAAATAGCATTTCCCAGGAACACATCCCTCATGTATCGCGGGGATTCCTATACTTATTTACTTTGTTAACAAAAGCAGGTGTTGTGTGTTTACACGATAAAGGCAAATGTTAGTTTAAAAAAAGTAGTCACTTGATGCCTACCTGTTGTACCTGTGACTGCTGCAGCGCGAATGACGCCAGCAGAACCATGACCAACGGCGACATTTGGACTTCCACTCCTTTCAGCAGCAGCAACACTTGCCATTCACACAGGCAAACACACAAACCGATAGAATTTTACTTATTAATTTTATTATCATCCCAACTATGGGGAGACATTTTTCTTAAATTTGTGAAACACATTTGTTACCAAAAATGTTTAACTAAAAATTCAAGCATCGACAGCACTTCTCAGCATTCTTAGTATGCCGTCCTCTGATCCACACAGAAAAGTTCACTAAACCCTCGCTATTCACGTTCTAGATTCACGAGTTTCGCATTCCCGAGTTACTAAATGCATATTAATTCCCTATTCGCGACCTGACGGACTCCAGTATTCAACAATGTACGTGCCAGACCACCGACACTGGGAAGGTACATGACGAATCTTAAATATGAAACTCTTTGAAGGTTAAATACACCACCTTGGCTGCCCGTTTTTTCCTCAGTCTTGCAGTAATCCCGTGTACCACAAATAGGTCGGTACTACCTTGCAGCTCCTCTGAGCTCGCTATTGTGCATTTTTACTTTATACGTACTGTACTTGCTTGCTAAAATACATTAATCATGGCTCCCAAGCATCAAATGAGAAAGGAAAGTGCGTCTTCACTTTCCTCTCTCATTGTATTTCCCAAGAAATCGTCCTCCTGAATTCCTCACCATCACCACCACCTTCATCGTCATAAAATCATCAGAGGTGATTAAAACATTGTTATTTATAATCTATTTATTGTAGTAATAGTTATTAAACATTTACCATCTCCCCCCACTCGTACCAGGAATGTAACCACATTTTTACCTTTGAACAAGGTTTCTGCATTCCCGAATTCTGCATTCGCGAGCGTTTTCAAGAACGTAACCCTCACGAAGAGAGGGGTTTACTGTATTCTCAAAGTAAAACGGTCAAGTTGACTGATTTCACCACTCGCTCACTCACTCCAGTCAAGTTTATGGTTTAACCTATGATGAACATTGGCTCTTGGTGATGTTTAATATCAATCAGTTGCTGAACACAGGCCCATTGGCCCAAGACGTCAAGCAGCCAGGAACAAACAGTACCATTAATGTGGTAATAGATGAGAAAACACGTTTCTTGAACTGAGCAAGGTTATTCAGAACTTGGGGAAAGAGACGATGGAAGGGAATTTCCAAGGGCAGCAGTGCGAAGGAAGAAGCAGAAAGTATTAAGGCCTGAAGAGTGATGGAGACGCACAAAGGGAAAATTACACAAAATAATCACGTCACTGTGTAGAATATAAGTAATAAAATAAATAAGCACACATATGCCTCCTTCCCATAGCTCTCCCTCGACATAAAAATGTTAATGTATTTGTTTTACACATCCCATCAGCCACATGGCTTTCTGGGAGGTAATGCTAAAACCGCTCCAGTTTTCTTGTAATGAACCCATGTTGCTGAATGTGTGCACTCCCAGAAGGCCTTGTGGCTGAAACTGTGTGTAAGAATACTTTTAGTTTTTATGTAAAGGGAAAAATTAAGGAAGGAAGAAAATGGTCTGCCAAGTTATTTTGCTACTTAAACATGTAATACATAAACATTAATTTATCACTACCCTCTATAACACATACAGGTTGGATGGGCCAGGCTGGGGTAGACGTAGTCGCTCCGAAACCTGAAAAACAGAATTAACTTTTGAAACATGTGTCCAACTGTTACAGCAAGGCTGCATTCTACGTCAATCTGCATGTGCACCATGTAATCACTCTAGATTTGAAGCTTTCGTGACTGCAAGGATCCATACTCTTTGTTTATTTTTTACCTACGTGACTTTACCGAATAGAACCAAAGAGTATGTAATCACTCATATATATGTGTTTGCGTGCGATGTCTATTATATAGATGCACAATGGATAAGTTATAGATTTACCATGTGTGTGCATGCCATCACTTGTTTGCTATGCATCCATCCACACCCTGGATATCTATCCAAAAAGTTCCATCGAGGGATGTTTTAACAGATACATGACAGAAAACTTGTTGAAATACATGCAGTGTAATAATTGCTTTCGTACCTGTGTATTTCCTGTATGTCTTGTGCCTGTGTTGAGGGCATCTAGTGCTGCATTCAATTTCCATTGCAGACACTGCAAACTTGCCTGCAGTTTGACCACAAAATACATTGTACATACACATTCTTATTCTTTGGGACTTTCGTTAAATCCACGTAGATGGATAAAATAATAATAAAAACTTGTACATACACAACTGAATTATTTTCCTTGAAATAAGACTGCTTACTATTCTCTTGTTGTTTAATGGCTTTAACTCTCCAAGATAAACTATAGCAGCTTAATAATTATGGGTGCTATATGCCAAGCAGACAACCAGTCATCATCCTCATAGCTGGTTTCTGATTTCGGTCCCGGGAACTGACTCAAGTGGAACGTGACCACGCATAGATTGGCTCAAGTTGACGCACAAACCGCATGGCAGCCAAGTCAGCAAGTGGTTCATGTACTCTCATTCCTCAGTCAAAAGGTGCAGCCAAAAAATTGCTTTTTCACGCCACTGCTGCCAACAAAGGCCTCCACTACAGGGAGCTCGAGAAGGTATTTTCCATAAGAATGAAGAGGATATTTGGTATATTCTTCCAAGCTAACCAGACATCTTCGCACAGCCACTTGCCAAAACAGGGGGAATCTTTAGCTTGGTATGTGTGTGAATTAGAGATGGAAATCGGCTTTGGAGGGAGGGGGGTATGTAAACCATGAACTGTGACAAGATGGTTGGAGATGGTAACACCGTACACAAATGTTGCATTTTTCAACCGTCACATGCACATGCAGTGGGTGTGCCCCAGATTTTGCAGTCTTGCCTGTAAATTTGCAGTCAGACTCTCATGCCGTCTATTTCCTTTTTCCACAACCTCCAAACGCCGGCTCAGCGCCTTCATTCTCTCGCCGATCACAGCGAAGTCTCGACCACCACCAAGCCTCGTGAGCAGCACTCTCTCCACCTCCTTTTCAGACCACATTTCCATAACAAAATAATTTGTGTCTCATCAGCAACCAGGCTCGCTTGAATCAATGCTAGTGAACTGCCAAATGTTTATAGACAAGAACCCTCTGTTATTAACTGACCCCACATGGTTTTTGAATCCAAACCAACCTTCCGTGTAAGCTCTCACCTTTTCTACATCTAATTTGGGTACAGCCTTCCTTGTGCGCAGCAGAACGCACGACCCATTTGTCTCTGGGCGACCATTGTCACGCTTGACAATTTTCCCTTGTTTTTGTACAAGCTGCTCCTCAGCGGGTCTCTTTATCGACGGATGACCACCTGGCAGTAGCAAAAACCATTCAATCATTAAACATTTTTTTAACACAGTTGCTAAGCACATGTCCAAAGGCCCAAAAGATCAAGTGGCCAGCAACAAAAAGCACCAAAGTTGTACTAATTTAAGAGTTACACTTATTATAAATCACCTACTCCCCACACTGCAGGTCACAACAACACTCATAAACACAGAAGGGCATTTTACTTCTCCATCTGCTGTATCCCCTACACGGCTCCACTTTGGAATTCCCTCCCATGGTCCCTTTTACCCAAACTCAAATCAACCTTGCTCAATTCATGAAATGTGTTAACTCTTACCTATTACAACTTTTATTGTGCTGATTGTTGCTGGTCAATTGCTAGATTTGATCATCATCATCAGGTGGTTTCCTTGATGATGATTGCTTGTGTTGCAATCGAAACGTCGTGATATTATTTATTTTATACCTACGTGACTATACCAAAAGAACCAAAGAGTATGGTCACTTGCTGTTTTGGGCCTTTAGACCTGTGCTCAGCAATGGTATTGAAAAAATATAAAGATTACCAGTAACCAATATAGGTAATACTGCATGCAGCTCTACCTGTGGTGCTGGTGTTGAAAGGAACCGAAGCAGATGTTGCATCGGGTGCACAATCTCTTGCTGCAACGCCTTCCGATTTGTAATCCGCCGAAGCTGCATTAGTATTCCACGATGACACAAGTCCTGCAGAACAATTCTGGTGGGCCTTGCTCACTGCCACCACGTTATCCTTTGTTGAAACTGCCTCTGTAGTACTGCCTAACCATTTAATCTCTGGAGGCGGATCGTTCTGTGCGCTGTGTGCCACGGCTTGCGCAGATGGCCTTGTGCAGTCTGTGCCGTCACCCTGTGCATTATTTTCTGTCAACATCGCAGTGCATTGTTTATTTGCACCACATGCCTGTGCACAGTCTTGTATCACACTGGCCACTGGCTCTGCAGCATAACTTTGTTCAAAGCCACGTTCTAGAGTCCCCAATGCAATATTTTGGACCAAGCCATTGCACGCCGACCCTGCACCTCCTCCACAACCGTCATCTGCTCCTTCTCTTGGATATAATTTATCTTCTTGGATATCGGACCTGAGAGATGACACCAACTCTGTTGCCGAATTTGCCTTGTCCTCCAGCTTAGCAGCAATGTTATTGTTTTCCATTCTCACAGTTGACTTCACATTTGACTCCTCACAGCTATCCATACTCTCTGCTTGGCTCAAATTCGGTTGCGCATTCACACCAGTATCTTTCTCTAGCATTGCTTGTATGTTTGTGTGTACTTGGTGCAAGTTTGTGTCTGACATATGCAAATAGGTAACATCGCAAGGAACGCCAGTGCTTTTGCGTTCAGGTGAAACAGAAGTAGTAGAGTCATGGTTCACTTTGAAGGGATGGTCCTGATTGGTTCTGGACATAGACAATTCATTATCATCCAAACCAAAACCACAATTCTCCTTAAAATTGTCTAAATGAAGTTGTGCAAGTGGTGATTCTTTTTCAAAAGGCAAATTCTCATTTTGGCCTCCCAATCCTGTCTCTTGTTTATTGATGGGAGATGAAACAGTGGAGTCACTACTGGTGGAACCAACACATTGATTTACTTTAACGTGGCAGTCATGAGCACCAAGTGCCTGCTCAATCTTGAGTGCATCTCCTCTGGTAATATTCAGGCAGTCTGTGTCATGATCAGACATCACTTCAACATTGCTATCACCAAAGCTAAGGGTGCAACCATTCTTGCTGTTACCAACTTGAGGCTGAGCAATGCCTATTACATTGGCCTCTCCCCCATTCATATCACATTGCTCTGTTTTAGCTCTCAAGCCCAAGTCACCTTGTTGACGTTGGTATTTAATTTGATGGCCGAGGTCCAAGGAAGATACGGGTGCAGGTTTTTCTTCTGGGGTAAAACCAGTCAAAGATTTTCCTTCTGAATGACTTCCGTGGCGGGTAATCAAAAATGACTGGGTTTCCTCCAATCGGGTCCACTCGACTTTGGTTTTCAACTTTTTGTTCTCCGTTCCCAAATGGATTTCTATTCCACAAGAGATCACAGAAGCAAGGCATAAGCATAGACACTTTAGCATACCGCAATTGAGAGGGGTGTAACACACCAATGAAATAACATCATACATTATGCTACATACATCAGGTCACACAATTACATCCATGTTTTACGATTGCCATTTCGTAATTGGTTCATATTATTATTTTTACAAGTGAAAATACCCCCCCCACCCCAGCTGCCACCCCTCTCATCCACACATTCCCACCTCCAGGTGCCCCTCCCCTCACGTGCATGGGAGCACGTGGAAATATGTTTGGGGGCACACCAAGCAATAGGAAGACCATTCAACAGCCACAGCACTCAAAAAGCCGCACCTATGAAGGACGTTACCGCACATGAGGGCGTGGGTGGCAAACACCACGCCTAGTCACCTTTGTCTCCCCAGTGGTGATGTTTACAACCAGCACTTTGTTCTTATAATAAAGCCGAGTAGACCTAGGGGAAGCCCAGGACTGGTTCAAATATTTGTCACTGATGTTGCTCATGAGCAGGAATTGAAGACGGGTTGCCAGGTTCGTTGCAGTGCGCTAACCACTGCATCACTGCTCGCCAAAAAAATACATACATATCCAATACCCGCCATACGCCATTAAGTGACGGTGACGTCACCACGGTGCGTGTGCCAGGCCAGGAGCACTTTGAGGCCACGAAGTCTCGAAGGCTCACTGACAGGTCTCGGGACAGACCCAGGTTCCATGGTTTGGCTGACGGAGATGACTGGTAGATGCACCAGCTGTACCCGCCACTTTGCCAACTTGCTGCATTTTAGCTGCCCAGCGGCTCCACTCGTTGTTGTGAGCGTTGCTCCTCTGCCCTCCATTGTGGCTGGAGGGCGACTTGCCTCCAACTGCCCAGCAGCGTCCTTCACGAGCCTCCTCCATAGAGGCCGATCTTGACAACGCTGGTACCAGTCGTCGGCAAGTCCACTCAGCTCCACATCCTCCCGTACCGCATCAGTCCATTTCTTCTCTAGCCCATGTCACACCCGTTTAGCCCCCTCTCCCCTGCCAAACATAAGCTGATTAGGCATGCAGTGGCTGGGCATGCAAGTGTAGGGACAGTGCGGAGAGAGTGCGTATGTGGAGACAGCGCGGGTGCAGGGACAGTGTGTGGCCAAGTGGTCACGAGGGATAATTACAGGAGGGAACCATCAGGGAAGTTGGGGATTGGCCAAGACAATTCGAGAAAGGGAGTGTGGATGGGGGCGGAGCAAGGCCACGCCGGGGGGATATAAGGCGGCAGGGCTAGGGTGCTCGGGGCTGCCGTGGGACCGGAATGGACTGTCTCCACGCTGTCTCTGCATCGTCGCTGTCTTCGTGTTGTCGCTACTTGGGTGCTGTCCTAGCCGAGTGTTATCCTAACCCAAGGATCTGTATGTTAATCCTAGCCCAAGTATTTTAGGATACGAGACCACATTATCTGCGCGACACATCTTAATAAATAAATAACAAACAAGTTGTCCGAATTATTACAACTGGTGTCAGGAGATGTCGAGATACTCAAGAAAAACTTAACTGCGACCTCGGACGAGGATGAAGATGAGGTGGAGGCCCCTCCCCAGGCAGCCCCGGGAACAGGGGCCCCGGTGTACGAGCCCCTAGGCGCTGCGGGAGCGATAGCAAGGACGGAGGAGAAGGGGGCCGCGGGCCAGCAGCCTCGGGCCGCAAAGGGGTGGCGAGAGGGGGCGGGGAGGCTGGACCTGCTCCTCGCGGCCGTCACAGGACTCTTCCCTGCTGCTGGGCTCGACGGCGGTGCCAACGGGAGCTGCGGAGGCCACGCGACAGGGACCCGTCAAGGAGACGGGGCGGACAACGGCCGCCGTTGTTGGCAGAGCCTGCGCGGTGGTCTGCCGCCATTGGACACGTGGCGGAGCCCGAGCGGGGTCCGCGCAGAGGGTGGCCCGCCATCGGCCATGCAGCCGAGGCCATGCAAACGCCGGCCGCCATCTTCCACGCGGCGAAGCCTGCGCAGCCAACAGCCAATAACCCCAACCCAGCGGAGCCGGCGCAGTTGCTGACCGCCATATTTCATGCCGCAGAGCCCGCGTGAGCGGGGGCGGCCATCACCCACGCGGCAGAAACCGCTTGGTCACCGGCCGCCATTTTCCCGACGGGGGAGGTAGCGTGATCAGCGGCTGCCATTTCATTGCCAACCACAATTTAGCTGCAAACCCAAGGGGCCGCGGCTTCGGCTCCGTCCCCGATGGTGCAGGGAGGAGCAATGAGTCGATCAAGGAGGGTGCCTCCCATCAGGGAGTTCGTGGCAGCGGGGGCCGACTGGGCCACCTTCATCCGCCGTTTTGAGACGGCGTTCTTCTCGGTCGAGTGGACGAAAGACGAGGCCTTGCGGGCCTTACCCACAGCCCTCCATGACGATACTCTTGCAGCATTCCGAGCCATTCTTCAGAAGCGGGCCACTCTTTGTCAGGCATACAGGGAGATGGCAGCTGTCTTCGATCCTCCATTCAATGCGTTGAAGAAACTTCTGCAATGGAGGTGAGGGGAGGCCGAGACGCCCCTTGCTTACCGCAGTGCACCGATGGCGCTGGGGCAGGTGGCACACCTGCGTATGGATCCAGCGGTGATTGACTCTAATGTTGGAGAAGTTGTTGGGGCTGGCACAAGAGAAGGGGATTGTGTGGCTCGTCGTTGAAGAGGAGACACAGACGTCCATGTGGGTGGCCAGATGCCTGCAGGCCCACGAAAGTATGACCCAGCGGACCCCGGTGGTGGCGTGGTTCAGAGGACACGTCGACCCGCTGGGCAGCCGGGAGCAACTCAAGGCTGGCGGAGGAGGAACCGGAGCTGGAGAGGGAGATGGCCGCGGTGACGCAGGGATGGCCTCGACGGCGAGGGGACACCCCGTGACGACCTTGGAGTTGGGTCCCCAGGAGAGAGGCGACCCTCCCGCCGCGAGATTGGGTCCCCAGGGGAGAGGTGACCCCTCCACCGCAAGGTTGAGTCCTCGGGAGAGAGGCGACCCCTCCACCTCACGGACCATCCATCTCCTGCTTCTGGTGTGGACGACCGGGACACATCGCGCGGGGATGCCAGGACAACGTCTGGCCATCGAAGTCCTTCTCGACATCCTCCGGGCCGCCGACGACCCCTTCCCAGCCCCAATAGGCAAATCGCGGCACACCGGACACTCAGCCTGTACCATCACCACCTCAAGCATCCAGATCGCCATGCATTCCATCGATCAATCTCGCCTCCCCTTCACCGGTTGGGGTGCGCGAACAAGGGGATCAGAACACGGATGGATGGCCGAAATTCCTTTACTCGGTGGAGGAAATTGGTGCATCGAGTGGTAGTAGCTGTGGCAAGGTCATAGGCAATATTTGGTTCCATTCAGGGGTTAGAGGTGTGGATCTTGGTTGACACAGGGGCCTCGGCTACCATCATTTCAGACGTCATCTATAATTTGTTGGGCCCTTAAGGGATCGTCGTATTTCACCGGTGGAAAACGTGTGTGTTGCGGCTAACGGGAGCATTGGCATTTTGGAATGGATAGAGGCAGGTGTGAGAATAGGGGAATTAGAGGTGTCAGGGCCCGTGTTGATTTCAAAGACGTTGGCGGTTCCTTGCCTCTTCGGGCAGGATGCCCGTGAAAATCTTAATAGATCAACCCTGTGTTGAGATGCCGTCGGGACAGCGTTTGCTCTTTTTGGATTCCCCACACGGGAAGCCCGTTGCGAATGTCATGGTTCAGGCCTTGGCAAAGGAATCTATACAGATTCCGCCAAGCATGCAAATGTTGATTCCCCTGCGCTACCGAAAATGCCTCCAGTTCGCCAACCCCGAGGCGGGGGTCCTCCTAACCCCATCAAATACAGCGACTCGAGGGCTCGCTTTGGTGGGAGATCAGACAATAATTCAGGGAAACCAGGAACCCTTCCGACAGGTCCTAAATGTGGGCCTGGGAGCGGCTGTGGTTCAGGCGGGGACAGTGTTGGCTCACGCAACGGCGGAATGCTGCTGTTGACTCAGGGGCAGGTGAGGTCGTGGACACGGTGCAACCGCCAGCGGAGTCAGATGGGACATGGACGGAGGAATTACGTAAGGAGAACCCATTTTTGTCCCATGCGCAGCGGACCGAAATTCGGTCGTTGTTAAGCGAGTTCTCTGACGTTTTCAGCCAAGGGAAATTTGATATCGGGCACACTAACTAGTTGCAACACCAAATCGATACGGGCGACACAGCTCCTATTCCGCAGAATTCATATCGGATGAGTCCTGTTGAAAAGGAACATGTACACCAGGCGGTAAGGGAAATGTTGGCCGCAGAAGTAATTTCACCTTCAACCAGCCCCTGGAGAGCCCCTGTGGTGTTGGTTAGGAAGCAGGATGACAGCTTGCGCTTTTGCGTAGACTTACGCAAATTGAATAAGGTCTCGGTGGCAGACGCTTACCCGCTGCCACGTATGGACGACTTCCTGGACGCGTTGGCGGGCGATCGTTTTTTTTCCAGTCTGAACCGACTGTCGGGATTTTGGCAAATTATCTTAGACGAATCGTCAAAGCGTAAAACGGCGTTCCGCACGCCCCAGGGACTGTTCCAGTTTAATTGCCTCCCAATGGGATTGCATTCGGCCCCAGCCACTTTCCAACGCCTCATGAAATTGGTGCTGGCTACAATGGGACTCCTATCTCATTTACTTGGATGACATCATCGTCTTTGGCCGAACATTAGACGAGCATTTGCAGCGGTTGCGGACGGTGCTCTCTAGGGTACGGGCAGCAAACCTTAAATTAAAACCTAAGTGCCATTCGTTACAGACCTCCGTGCGGTATTTAGGTGACATTGTCAAGGCTAAAGGGTATCGCGACGGACCCGGACAAGACTGCGTGTGTACGCAATTGGCCAATTCCCAAGTCAGTGTGCGAGGTGCGCAGTTTTGTAGGGTTTGCATAGTACTACCAGAGGTTTGTTTCGCAGTTTGCGACGATTGCAAAACCCTTACATGCCCTGACGGGTAAGAATCAGAAATTTTAATGGGGCCAAGAGGAGGCCGCGTTCGCTAAATTGCGCGATCACCTTTCCAACGCGCCTCCTCTTGACTATCCAGACTTTTTCTTGCCGTTCATACTAGATACGGACGCTAGTGACATGGACATAGGAGCTGTCCTGTCCCAGATTAAGAACGGGGTTGAAAGGGTAATTGCATATGGGAGTCTCGTCCCATCACCCGCTGAACAGCGGTATTGTGTCACAAGCAGGAAATTGTTGGCCATGGTGTATTTTATCCAACAGTACAGGCCATATCTCAATGGCAGATATTTTTTTGTCCGCACGGACCACGCGGCCCTCTAGTTCTCTTTGAGAGTAGACCAGCCATCCGGCCAGCTATCTCGATGGTTGGAAATACTCTGGGAGTATTCCTTCCAAGTGGTTTACCGCCAAGGTGCGAGGCACTGCAATGCTGAAGCGCTGTCGCGCTTGCCGCTGAACGATCACTGTGCATGCTCGTTGGGTGCGGGCAGGTGTAGATTGCCTGTGGGCGGGTCACCTGGGGTAGTAGCGGCCTCAGGTGACCCGCTGCTCGCCGTGGCACATAGGGATGACATGCTGGGCCTCATGCAGACAGAATGGGGCAAGATGCATATGGAGGATGTCTCCCCTCTTGAACTTGCGACGCCGCGTGGATTCTGATCAGCAGAATCCCGGCCGTAAGGAGATTTCACGGTTCGTCCTTCGGGAAGCGTTGCTTATGCGGTGGCAGAGGTTTCTGGGCGATTATATATTGTGGTCCCCACAGGCCTGCAAGGCAGGTTGACGCGGGCAATGCATGCCGACAAGCTGATCGGAAAACCTTGCTTACGGTGCAATGAGATTTCTACTAGCCGGGGATGTCTAACGATGTCTTCCATTCCATCAAGGGTTGCACTGATTGTGCGCGCCGCAAGCCGCCGGCGAAAAAATCTCCACCCCCTTTACAATCTATCACGGTGTCTCGCGTTAACGAATTGGTCGCACTGGACATCCTGGGGCCTTTTTTAACTACACAAAAGGGAAATACATTTCTCCTTGTCGGGGTTGAGTATTTTTCTCGGTGGCCAATGGCCTGGCCGTTGCCCAACCAAACAACTGTGTCCATCGCCGATGCATTTTTGCACGGCTATGTGATGGATAAGGGGGCTCCCGAGCAACTTCTCACAGACCAAGTTCAGAATTTCTCCTCCAAGCTGCTTCGGGAAGTGTACGATGTACTGGGCACAAAGAAAATCAGAACGACACCCATACCATCCCGGATGGTATGGTGGAACTCCTGCACCGGACCCTGACATCAATGCTGTGTCAGGTTGTTAACGAGGCACAGATTGGAATTGATGTCATTTTCTAATTGAGCTGCAAATGAATTAAGACCGTCGATGATGACCGGATCCTTCTGATGGAGAGCAACATGGTCCAGTCGTTTCCAGTCTCTGTATGATATCGTTGTGACGGGACATCAAATAATCGGTAATGCCACTTTGTTCGTCACGGAAATGTAATCTGAAATACTCATGTCTTTGATAACATCGGTCACAGTTATGGCATCGGCAGATGTGAAGATGTGATCCAGTATATTTCCCGAGTGACATGTTGTGCCGCTAACGTGCTGGGTTAAACTGTTACTCTCGATAATCTCGGTGAGATCACCGTTGATTTCACCACAAAAAACAGTCAGTCCGGGACAATACAGGTCACCACAGATGATGTAGTTAGAGCCAAGTGCTGTTCGTTATTTTCACAAGCAGCAGCTCGAATTGTGATTGTTAATGAGTCACTCAGGACTTTCACGAAGGTCTTTACGATGAATCAGTGCAATCCCACCACCATGTGGGCTGCTGGTGCCATGTTTCCAACGACGGTGCTTATGTACAATAGTGTACCCGTCAGGTGCAGCCTCATACCGAATTAAGGTCTGTGTTTCTGCGTCTCTTTTTCTGTGCATCTGCGTGTCTCAGTGTTTGTATGTTTTTGTATCTGTGTACATCTCTGTGCGGGTGTCCGTGTATCTCCATCTCTCTGTTTATTCATGTCACTGTCTCTACATGTGTATCTCGGATTAAGACAAAGAAAGATACATATTAAGACTAGAGGTTGACCAAAATTCAGTTTCGGTGCCGAAAGTTGGCAAATGGCCTCTTTCGGCATACTTTCGGTTTCGGCCGACAGTCAATGTTTTACTTTCAGTCTGGTTTCGGTTTCGGCCGAAACTGATATTGACTTTCGGTCGTCTTTCATCAACCAAAGATCTATTTTTAGAATATAACGCTAGTGCTACGTCTATCACTTTGCCTATCGGCCGGTCAGTCAGCGCTAGGCAATCCTATGCGATAGGCTGCAAACACACACACACATCAGCAGCATCAGCTTGGGAGCGAGGTTACAGCCGCAACCATGGTCTGCTAATGTATATACGACCGGTCAACAGATGCCAGCCTGTCTGGCTGAATGCGAAAAAACTGTTGTTTCTTAACTACAACATTCGTTTGTTTGCATATAATTACTAAGTAACACCTAAAGATTTGATATTTAGCGACTCTTACTGCAGGCTCTGAATGATTAGTTCTAGATTTATTTTTAATTAAAGAAGCATTGCATCATGACATGTTTAATAAATCTTGTGTTCGGTAACTTCGGTTATATACCTTTCTGTTTTGGTCTCGGTTGAAAGTAGTTAAACTTTCGGTTTCGGCCGAAAGTGTAGTTAAACTTCGGTTTCGGCTTCGGTCGAAACCAAAAATTCAGTTTCTGTCGGCCTCTAATTAAGACACAGATGCTGTACACGCATCTTTAAACATTGCACAGCATTTATCAAATATACTTTAATCTATACTTTGATGATTGTTGGGAAAAAAAACACTGTTAACCCCTTGAAATAACAATTTACCGCAAACTATGAAGAGAATATAAATTTTGAGCAATCGGCAAAACTGACATTTATTTTTTACAAAGGCTTTAATTATGTTTTAATCAAGTTTGGCACTCACATATAATAAATGTCCTCTCCATATCTCAGAGTAAAATTTAACGTCACTGTAAATAACTTTGGCCAAAGCATGTCACATTGTCCGATCTAACCTGCCAATTATAGTTAGTATTCCTTAGATAAAACAAAGAAATGTAGCGAAACAAGATTCTCCTTGTAGCCTACAATGTAGCCTGCAATATAGGATACATGAGAGGTCATCATGTTGCCGATTTCGTGAAAACATGCAATTTGACCTGGTTTAAGCTGGTTTGAGAAAATGATAAACTGGATCTTGATATAAAGCTTTCGTGACTGCAGGAATTCATACTCTTAAAACAATGATCAGCCAGGTGTTGGTCCTACCGTGTTTCAGATCCGCCTTGTGTTCGCGAACACAAGGCAGGAAACGTCTCACATTGACATGCTAATCTCTAATTTTGAGCAATACAATGGCTTCTTCAGCACCATAACCGTGGGGTTACATTAACAGATTGACATGCTAATCTCTAGCAATACAATGGCCGCGGTATACCTAGCTCTGCGACCTTACATTTACTTGCAAATTCCATCTCTAGCCCCGCCCACTTACCCTTGGGTTGTACCCATTTCAAACCTTTATAACCTATGGCTGCAGTAGCTCTCTCACTAAATTTATTCCTGCCTCAGCAGTCCGCCTACTGTATTTTTTCACCTAAAGACAATTGCTTGTGTTGCGATCGAAAAGTCATGATTTTATTTTATTATTTTTCTATCTACGTGACTTACCGAAAGACCCAAAGAGTATGATAAACTGGAAACAAACTTTTCAAAACCATTTTGAATCGATTAATCTGATCAGTGTTCAGTTCAAGCAGTTTTCGGTGCACCTGAACAGCACCCGAAACCAACTGGTTCAACACCATGACTTACACTGCACCTAAAAATGTTTAACTGTTATTGTATTTGTAATAGCTGCAACTCCAGAAATATTACACCTCTTAAAAAGGTTATGGGATCAGGGGGGCGTAGAAGTGGTTTGTACCATTGCCATGCTTGTCCAGCAGGCGGTGCAGAGACGAAAGTTGAATGCGGTTACTGCTCTGAGTGCTCTTCCTTGCTCGAAACACGCGAGGGGCTGAAGATTGCATCTGCCCGGGAGTGGAGGAGAGTGCCGTTCCGCAGCACGAATCCGTCATCTCGAGAAGCTGCTGAAAAACAACAGGCAACACCAGAAACAAGTACTGCCAATCAGTCAGGGATCCATCAAAGTCAAGAGCAGCGATTTCCAAACTGTATACAGTGATTCATCTTCTTGGTTCTTTCGGTAAAGTCACATAGAATGGAAATAAAATAATAAAAATAAAACATAATAAAAAATAAAATTCTCACGACGTTTCGGCCACAACACAAGTAGCCTTCTTCAGGTGAAGGAACAGAACTGTCGGGACGACAGCGCTTCAATGACTGCTGCTAAGATTCGCAGGGTCTTTTAAGCTATGTGGGAGAGGTAAAGCGCCTTGACAAAGGAGTTTACATATCAAACAGGAGAATTTAGCATTGAAATAGCTGTGTTAAAGTGTTGGATCAGCAGGGTGTTAAAGTCAGAAATTAGCATGTAACTGGAAGATTAGCATGAGGTTAATGTGAGGAATTAGCATGTGACTGGTCACGGAAATAGCTATGTTAAAGTCAAAGTTTACATCTCAACAAAGGCATATAGTATATGGACACTAAAGGACTGCAACTACCCAACTATCATACAATAAACCGATGTGAAAAAAAACTAAGTATAAACTACATCAATATAATAAATGTACTCAATATATTCTTCAATAAGTTGAGCTATAAACATAAAGTAACTGGGTATACACTACACTATATAATGAATACCATATAGTAAACTAATAATTCAAATATAAACTACATCAATGTTTTGATTTAAAGGTTTCGTGACTGCAGTAATTCATATTCTTAGCTTTTTCGGTAAAGTCACGTTGAAGAGAAACAACAAAATATATATAAAACAATAAAAAATTCTCACGACGTTTCGACCATAACTCAAACACACCTGATGATGACCGTTTGAGTTATGGTCGAAACGTTGTGAGAATTTTTTATTGTTTTATATATATTTTGTTATTTTGTTGTTTCTCTTCAACGTGACTTTACCGAAAAAACTAAGAATATACATCAATGTTATCAATAAACTCTATATCAGGGGTCGGCAACCTATGGCTCGCAAGCCAGATGTGGCTCTTTTGATGACTGTATCTGGCTCGCAAATAAATCTTAGCTGACATTTCTTAACATGATAAGTAATGAATAATTCCGCTGACATTACAGTAAAACATTACAAAAATCAGTGTTAAAATAACGTTTAAAATATAAAACATTCTCATGCATTTTAATCCATCCATCAATTTTCTACCGCTCCTGCTCAGGGTTGCAGGTGGCTCAGCCAATCCCAGCTGTCCGACACCATAACTCTATTTTTATTGGATAATGCGGCAGCCTACGGGTCGTTGTGAGGTCAAGAAGTAAACTTCCGTCCTTTTAATCAAATAGTCAGCTAGCTAATTTATTCAGAGCAAACCCTTTTGATGAAGATGGCGAAAAGAAAAAAAGATGAGGAGTACCGCACATTTCAGCACGAATGGACAGAAGAATTCGCCTTTGTGGAGAGAGCAGGTTCTGCGGTGTGTCTAATATGCAGTGATAAAATTTCATCGATGAAACGGTCAAATATAAAGCGGCACTTCGACACACGCAATGCTACATTTGCATCGAAATATCCAGCGGGGGACAGCAGAAAGAAGGCATGCCAAGAGCTACTGTCCAGAGTGCAAGCTAGCCAGCAGCAACTCCGTGTATAGACCGGACAAGGTGACGGGAATTCGGATAGCTTTGCTGGTTCTTTAGCAATTGTGAGGAACGGAAAGCTATTCACAGATGGCGAGTATGCCTAAACATTCACGCTTGATGTGGCCAACGAACTTTTTGACGACTTTTCGGATAAAGACAAGATAATCAAACGAACAAAAGACATGCCTCTGTCAGCAAAAACTGTTCACGATCGTACCATAATGATGGCAAATCAAGTGGAGGAAACACAAGTGAAGGACATAAATGCAGCGCCATACTTTTCCCTTGCTTTGGATGAGTCAACGGACGTAAGTCATTTATACCAGTTCAGTGTGATTGCAAGGTATGCTGCCGGTGACACACTGCGTGAGGAAAGTCTTGCTGTTTTGCCAATGAAAGGGTCAACAAGAGGAGTATTTATTCAAGTCTGTCATTGAGTTCGCTAAAGAAAAAAATCTACTGATGGATAAGCTTATTTCGGTGTGTACTGATGGTGCTGTGTATGGTGGGGAAAAACAGAGGATTTGTAGCGCTTCTTCGTCAACATGAATCTTCACTGCATTCTACATCAGGAGGCGCTCAAACGTGTGGCGGGCAGCTTGGTGAGGTGATGTCACTGGTCATTCGGGTGGTCTACTTTATTGTTGCCCGAGCTTTAAATGATCGTCAGTTTAAGACACTGCTGGATGAAGTTGGGAATCATTATCCCGGTCTGCTTTTGCACAGCAATGTGCGTTGGTTGTCAAGAGGGAAGGTGCTCAGCCGTTTTGCGGCTTGCCTGAGCGAAATCCGGACTTTTTTTAAATGAAAGATGTCGAGCATCCTGAGCTAGCTAACACAGAGTGGCTCCTGAAGTTTTACTATCTTGTGGACATGACTGGACACCTGAACCAGCTCAATGTGAAAATGCAAGGCATTGGAAATACAGTCTTATCCCTTCAACAAGCAGTGTTTGCATTTGAAAACAAGCTGGAACTCTTCATCGTGGATATTGAAACAGGTCGTTTACTGCACTTTGAAAAACTGAGAGAATTTAAAGATGCGTGCACTGCAAGTGACCCCGTTCAACATTTTTATCTCCAGCAGCTAGCTGGCTTCACATCTGATCTCCAGCAGTCATTCAAAGCATGCTTTGGAGAATTTCGTGAGCACAGTCATCTTTTCAAGTTAATCACTCATCCTCACGAGTGTGCAGTGGACAAAGCCGACCTGAGTTACATCCCTGGTGTCTCCATCAGAAATTTTGAGCTGGATGTTGCTGACCTGAAGGCTTCAGACATGTGGGTGAATAAGTTCAAGTCACTGAATGAAGATTTGGCAAGACTTGAACGACAGCAAGCAGAGCTGGCGAGCAAACACAAGTGGACAGAAATGAAAAAACTTCAACCCGCAGACCAGCTGATTGTCAAAACATGGAACGCGCTTCCTGTCACATACCACACAATGCAGCGTGTGAGTATTGCTGTATTGACCATGTTTGGTTCTATGTATTCATGTGAGCAGTCGTTCTCACATCTAAAAAACATCAAGACCAACCTACGATCCCGTTTAACGGATGAAAGCCTCAACTCCTGCATGAAGCTTAACCTCACCACATATCAACCAGACTACAAAGCCACCAGCAAAACCATGCAGCACCAGAAGTCGCATTAATGGTAAGAAGTATTTTATGTATTATTGGTTGTTGGTATAACGTTAAAAAGGATACATTCAGAGACTTATTATATTCTAAAATTGGTGGTCTTAGTAAAAAATACACGCATTTAGTTGTATTCAGTGTTAAAAAATATTATATGGCTCTCACGGAAATTTATTTTAAAATGTGGCTTTCATGGCTCTCTCAGCCTAAAAGGTTCCCGACCCCTGCTCTATATACTCTCCAATCAGCTGAGCTACTAACAATAAGTCGTTATACATTACAATGCCATATGGCGAAAAAATGGGTGGTGGTTTCCTTCTTTCCAACGTTAGCACCACGGAGAGCGACGAGCCTCGTTCAGACGGACGAGTCCATCCATGCTCGGAACGGAGGAGGGGTGAGAAACACCCACGATGCGCTGCTGTCCTGTGTTGCGTTACAACCATGCCATAAACTAGACTACTATACATTGTAATATTATATCTTCCAATCTAAACTACATTGTATAATATCGTATACACAGCCCAATGTAAGCTCTAACATTATGCATTATATTGATATGTCTCCAAATAAACTTTTTCCTACATTACACGACTATACACTGTAATATACACTACCATAGACAAACCCACCCTTGAATTATACAATGCGTTACTTTACACTACCCTATACTTTAGACTGTAAAATATTAGACTTGTAATATTACACTGTATTATTCTACCAACCCTACTGTATACCACACTGCTGTATATTCACGATAGAATTACGATACTATATATTGCCTTATGATTTATGTTAAGCATTACAATGGTATACTATTTATTATATAACATGCTATAAACCATACCATTGACCGTCGTGTGAAAGGTATTAAGAGGCAGTGCCAGCGAATGGACTGCGGTCTGAAAGTTACCATATAATACAATCAATTAAGAACCGAAATGGTTTATAACGTCTTTCCAATGGTTACTAAGCCAGAATCCATCTTCTTGGTTGAAATTGTCTCGGTCATGGATGGCCTCATGAACGAATCTCTCATGGGTAGCCGGATGGCTTGCTGAGAACCTCCGTCTTGGAGAAGTCAATGTCATGCGAGCCCACTGAATTAGAACAGTGATCTGCCACGGCTGAGGTGTTCGTCCTACCGTGTCTCAAGTCTGCTTTATGTTCACGGATGCGGTCCGAGATTTGTCGTTTGGTTTCTCCAATGTAACTGCTACCACAGAGGCAACTTAGTTTGTAGACGGCCGGGTACTGTATGTCTGGAATCACATATTTTACAGACGGAACCAGATCATGTATATGTGGATGGCCTCATGAACAAATCTCATGGTAGCCGGATGGCTTGCAGAGAACCTCCGTCTTGGAGAAGTCAATGTCATGCGAGCCCACTGAATTAGAACAGTGATCTGCCACGGCTGAGGTGTTCGTCCTACCGTGTTTCAAGTCTGCTTTATGTTCATGGATGCGGTCCGAGATATGTCGTTTGGTTTCTCCAATGTAACTGCTACCACAGAGGTAACTTAATTTGTAGACGCCCGGGTACTGTATGTCTGGAACCACATCTTTTACAGACGGAACCAGATCACGGATTTTATGTACTGTGTTGAATCGGACCTGGATCTTGTGTTTATTCAGGATTTTGGAGATCTTTTTTGTGACCCCCGCAATGTAGGATAAGGTGATGGTTTTGAATGGCTCAAGAGG